CGCATCATGAAATTAACAAATTTTCGCAAATTCGCAAGCTCCAGTGGGCACTCAGTCACAATCAAGAATTAGGGGAATATCGTTGTTCAGATGGGAGCAACTGCAGTACTATTTCTGTTTTAAAGTACTGTTTCTGCTACACTCCATTTGGTGCAGAAGATTTTTGGTTAAAGCAGGAGCTAGCAGTAGAATCAACGGGTGGTGTTGGTTACGGTGTCCATAGAGAGGGGAACGTTTAGATTAACGTCACTAAGGTCAGGTGGTTTGATAGTTTAACGTTCTGCCTGAAACGATGTTACGCGTCCACGCTTGACGTTCAAAATCTAACACTTCGGTATTCTGTTCCAGACTATACTACTTACAGTCAAAACGTTTACGTCGCATTATGAAGCATGTTCAAGGGTTAACTTATATCATATAGTTCATTATCTTTTCGAAGGACTTTATGACAAAACGAACTTCACTAGGGCAGGATACATCAAGATGACAGTAGGAATATCTCGTTTCCTGCTTCGAACCTGGATGCGCATGTCGAAGATCACACACACACACAGGATTCGAAAGAAAACGGCGGAATTCAGAAAGTCACTTTACTTTCAGTAAATAAATAGCAAAGAGTAAATAAAATATTAATAACAAATAAATGAGATTATGAATGAAAATGTACCTCTCACACATCGCACAGGGCATTACCGTGTTCAAAAAAAAAACGCGCATTCTCACCCATACTTCTCCTGTGATAAAAATTCAAGGTAAATCAATACCTCAGATTAAGAAAACCGCAGAATTTCAAAAGAAAAAAATCACAATGAATTGTAGCGCTAGCCAATATAGAGACGATTTTTGTCGTTAACATATATGCATGAGACTGATTAATTTCTCCAAAAAAATACTCACGGTTAATTGAAAATATCGCGTTCCGTTGAGCAATCCACGACACTGTACACCATTCGCTACTTTACAAGTGACTGAAATGGCAATCTTGAACTTTAATGGTGGTACGACACAAAAGATTTTGCAGTTCACGAACAATTCAACACGGTAGTCAAATAATGAACGATTGGACGCTTGATGATCATGGAGAATATATTAAACACATATCGCACCATAAGAATTAGCGTGGACGTAAACGGGCGACCAATGTATAGGGTGAATGTAAGACTGTTGTACCTCAGACCTTAATACTCAAAGGTACCTCTGCTACGAGTAGAGAGGAAACAAAGAGAAGAATTGAGCTAGAAACAGACCGGTAACAGAGTTGTCTTCATTACAGTTTAACGGCTGCTGCGTTTCAGCGTTTATCAAAGGAGGTTCGCAAGCGTACCTGAAGTATCAGAGTCAGAATCAAAGGAGAATACAGCAAAGTTTACAAAGAACAAGGTGTAGCAATATGGCATCATATAGGGTGTGGTTGAGTTGTACCGGTCGAATTCGCCTCTTCGGATCAGTGATTAAAGGAGGATAAGCAACGATGAGAAGGACCCTTCCAATGCCATAGACTAGCTATTGTCAGCACGAGTTTATTCTGTCTTTGGTAAATGGAATTGATCTATCAATTCCAATAATTTCTTCTCATGTTTAACTATCTACTCAGTTTATGCTCCGGAAATGCTGTTTCTTATCATCTGTTAGTGATTGAAACAGGGAGCACCTTATGACCGACACCTAATCAGTCACATTTTTAGTCAGTTTGCCAAAAAATAGCTGTAG